CTTGTTGACGCTTCTCCTCACGTGGTTTTTGCATGTTTGACAACAACGACGGCGACATGTCCAACATTGACAACGAGTTCAAGGCCAAGCTCGCGCTCGAGACGAACGAGACGCGTCAGTCGTTTGTCGCGGGGGACGAGCCACACGAGTTTGAAAAGGACGTGGGCTACATCAAGGCGTAGTTGGTGGTTACCTACTCCAATCCAATTATTGTTATTTTGTACATTGTACATTGTACTGCGCACTAGGCGTATTCGCTAGCAAGTGACGCAACGCGTCGCCTACGGTTCGGGTCCAACGACACATTTCCGAGACAGCCAAAACTTAAGAATAAAGTAAAATAAAGAATCAGTGCTTTTAGTCTTTTCCGCCTAGGGCGCAGGTAGAAGAGACGACGTTGCCATGCGTACAGCCGCGTCTCAGACCCCAAAAACGCTCGTGTCGGTGTCCACCATCTCTTCAATCGGGATCTCTTGCATCGCCGCGATTGTCGCCACTCCCTCGTGCGTCTCGTTGTGGACCACACGGACTTGCTCCGGACGCGAGCTAGCGTGGCCAGGGACCAGCTCGTCAAAGACGCGGCCAGGAAGACGAAGACTGCGGCAGTCCCGAACGATGAGCCAAGTACGACGCAACATCTTACCGTCGAGTGCCGCTTGGCCATTGAAGCAGACCAACGCGGCGCTCGACGGTACGTTGTTGCGTCGTACTTGGCTCGTCGCCGCGGTCTTCATCTTGTTGGCCGATCGCGGTCTACGCATGCATCGAGTTCGGGGCCTTGTTTTAAAAGAAAAAGGATGTACGTACATAGTGGGCTCGGCGGCGCGGCGCTTCGTCGTGGCCTTTCCGGGCTCATTCGGTCTACAGCGTCTGTGACAGAGATCTGCACCGAGATTTTGAGTCCGTCCAATCCGTACGCAGGATTTGAACCTTTGTTCGTGTACGGTCCGGTACGTACGTCAAATTATGAGCTCGAGCAAATACGTCCGTGTACGTACGCTCGATTTGGCAAAAAATAATGTCCGTCCGGGTACGTAGGCAATGTGTCCGTCCACATTTGTACGCTCTGTCCGCTTGTATCCATGGAGTTGATGCCGAAATCAAGGATGACAAGAGGCATGTTTTCGCTGTATTATGTTGCCTACCACGGCATAGTCCAATGGACCATACCAATAAACAGATATTGACCATTAACCATACCGAACAGTCCTCCGATATGATGTTTCGTTGGTTGCGCTTCAGACTCGGACGTCCGACAAAATTGACAAGTACGTCCGTGCACGTCCGCAAAAAAATGAAATACATTTGTCCGTAGATCGACCGCATGATGCTTCAATTCCTGCGCAACGAGCCGATCGCGCGCCGGAGTGAGCACAGAGTACGCAACTTCCGCGCTGACCTCGCCTTCTCGCCTCGTCGTCTTGGTGGCCTGGGTCTCGTACGCGCACTGCCCTTGTGGACCGCGCGACACCGGGCCGGGATGCTTCGCGCCGCGCAAGCAGTGCAACAGCTCCCCGAAGATCGCCCGGCGTGGATCTCACCCGGTTGGACGCTCGTCTCGCTCGCGTATGCGCCGTGGGGCGACCTCCAAGACTTGCTTCATGGCGACCAGGCTCACCCAGTGGTACAAGTCGCGGCCAGCATCGACAACGAAGACATTATCAACGCACTCCTTGCAGCTGGAGCCAACGTCAACGTCGAAAGCGATGTACCGCACACTACACTCACTCCTCGTTTCCCATTTACGCTTGTTGCACTAGACACAAGTTGCACCGATCTTGATTGCAGCGTCGTATGCGCACGTCAACATTGCGTCGCAACTGGTGGCAGCCGGCACCAACCTGGCCAGCGTGGACAAGGTAGTACCGTCCATCATTCCTACACCAATGGTGTACATGAGACGGGCACTAGAACGGGGAGGGCTGTCTTGCGTGCAGTTCGTAATGACCATGCTGACATGGTCCGCTATCTCGCGGACAATGGTGCAGACGCGAACGCTACATCACCTGTAATACGCACGAACGAGGTCGCTGCGTTAATGATTGACACGCACTCTGTCGGCTGGATCCTCACCATTACTTGCTGCTTGTGCCACGGGTCATACCGCCTCGGTGATGGCCCTGCTGCAGGCTAAAGTGGATGTCGACCCCACCGACGCCGTAGGATCGCACGCAGTACCAGGCCAAAGCGTGCCTTACCCACATTACACTGTAGAATCCACGCTGCTGCCTCATCGCGGCAGCGAGCTTCGGTTACGTGGAAATTGTGTCGCAGTTGCTCGTGGCGCGCGCCGATGGGAATAGAATCGAAAGCGAGTTAATACGACGAGCCACTTTGCTACCAGTGGACTCATCACGCATGCTTGGACAGTCTGGTGCCACTGCACTGTACAAGGCTGTCGCCCACGGCCATGTTGAGATTGTGCGCCAGCTTACATATGCGAGAGCCAAGCTCGACATGGTCGCCTTCGTAAGTGGATGGATGACACGAATCATCTGATTGCAGTCTTCATACCGTTTGTACGACGGGACAACGCCCCTTGATGCGGCGTTTGAGGGCGGACACGAACATGTCCTTCATGATGTGCGTACCAAGGTATACAAGATCGGTGCATGTGTATCGTTGTGCGATTGTTTCTGCGCACAGAAAATGGAGTTGCTCATGCAGCCCGGCTTGGTGATGTCCAACTCGTCCAATCTCTCTTGTCGGAAGGCCTTAGCGTCAACGAGACGGACGAGGTACAATTCTATCCAATACAATGCTCACAAAGGTACGACTAGCACGGCAACTCACTGGTGCACCTGGCCGGTCGCCACGACCCGCTTTTAGCGGAGCTTTTGAACGACGCACAGTGCGAGCTCTACAGTGTAAACAAGGTCATGAGAGCAGCAAACGCATTCGGCCCCTCACATTGGACGCTGGTGCTCTGTAGTTTGGCGAGTCCCCGACCGCGATGGCCACGAAGCTGGGTATGTCGTCACTGCTTCGTCAACTGCATGCTGCACAAACCCCAAGAACGGCCAAGGTAGGAGTCAATCTCATTGGGTTCGATGCCACAGTGCGATCTTTTAGGTGGCCCCTCGATCGACGGTGCATCTTCCAGAGCTTGGCCGCGGTGGCTACGGCATCGTCTTCAAGGACAAGCTATCTGGCCACGACGTAGCCGTCAAGGTGCTGCGGAACACCAAATTCGGTGCTGCGAGCCTTCGCGACGAGATTCGAATCCTCGAAAAGTAGGACGACGACAGAACTTGAGCTTGCATCACTTGTCAATGTAGCAACCCGTCGCCGTACCTTGTGCGACTGGTCGCTACCGCCGACGCCTCATCGGACGCGCCGCAGCTCTTTTTCGAGTACATGGACCGTGGTAACCTCACCAAGTACCTCGACAAGATCGCTGCGGACAAGCCCGTCCCTGTCGCATACACGCCCATTGAGATTCTCTGGGTCGTTGCCAACGCTCTCAACGACCTCCACGCCAACAACATCGTTCATCGCGACGTCAAGACCGACAACATCCTCCTCTCGTCCAAGTACTACATTAAAGTGGCCGACGTTGGCATCGCCAATGATGAAACGACGAACATGACGACGGTTGCTGGCACAAGCAAGTGGCGAGCACCCGAAGTGCTGACGTCTGGAAGCCGCTACGGGAAGGCGGCCGACATTTACTCGTTTGGGATTCTCCTCCAGACGCTGTACCCTAACCCTCGCGATGCAAGCGCCGAGTGGGCCCAAGCTCTCGCAGCGGACTGCACGGCGGTCGATCGTACACGCCGTCCGACGGCTGAGCAGCTCGTCCGCATCTTGCTGCCCGAACTCCTGTCGTATGTCTTATATTCACAGTATTTTATTGTGTCCACCTCGTCATGAACTGTGTAGGCAGCCGCACCTTGTGACATCACTGTATGCTTTTGAGCAAGACAGAGCGGTACAGGACGCCTGCTGTGTACGCTATCCCAAAAATACGACCGACCACCATGGTTACGCGGGTCTCCAAGTTCCCGAGTACGTCTCGCTGCCTGCTGGCGTCGAAAGACGAACGATGCCGGCACCTGCAACGACAGCGTCAGCCTTCCCTTTGGTTCGCTCGGCGTCCCATTTCGTCGAGAATACGCTCATCTTTTGCTTTTGTAGATCATCGGGCAGTTTCCAGGCTGTTCGGTAAAGCAACCACAGCTCGTATTGTTTTCTTGCGGAAGGTCTCATTTTTCTACGTAGCACGTCGAGGAATTGATCGAAGCCATTGAGGATGGCGACGTCGACATTGCCCGCACCTTGCTAGCGAGCGGAGTCCACCCCGACAGCTTCGGAGAGGTAGATGGATCCGCCTCCTTGTGTGCAATGAATGATGGTTCCTGTAGGAGGGAGAAACACCACTCTTGCATGCCGTGCATCTCGGCGCCGTCGCCATGATCGATGTGCTACTAGCCTATCACGCCGACGTCAACATTGCAAACAGCGTATGCGGGCTGTCCCACGAGACGCGAGTACCCCGACATGTAGAGCAACTCCACGGCGTTACACCATGCAGCGGCGCAGAGCTCGAGCACGGCTCTCGATAGGCTGCTCCGCGTCGAAACCATCAACGTCAACGTGCAGACTGACGTACGCAAAATGAGCGGTGTCGAGCGACCGCTCATCCTTCCTTCTAGGAACTAGACACGCCGTTGCATCTGGCGAGTGCTGAAGGGTGCTTGGCGAATGTGATTGCCCTCGTGAACGCTGGTGCCGATCTCGAGGCCACCGATGTGGTACATACAACGGCAACTCGAGTACTACACCTTTCTCTCAACTCGAACGCTAGAACCTGAATCGACCACTGCATTTTGCAGCGTCGTATGGACGCAAAGACGTGGCTGGCGTGCTCCTCCAGCGCGGCGTCCGCACGTCCGAGCGCAACGCGGTCTCTCTGCGCGGCGAATGTAGTAGGACGTGCTAAACCGCGTCCATTGTAGCGTGGCGAGACGCCTTTGCATATTGCGATGATGTGCAACCATGGCGACGTTGCCACGCTTCTTGTGGAGGCAAATGCTGACATCGACGCCCTCGCGGTACGATTGTGTGTTGCATCCCACGACATACGAGTGCGAACCATTTCTTTCTCAAGTAGAACGGACGTAGCTCATTGCACTATGCTTGCGAGTATGGAGTTGCCGATGTCATTCCGGCGCTACTTGCCCGAGGCGCCGACGTCAACGCCAAACATGATGTACATTATGCGCTACCTGGAACGTGCCAAGATGTCGTCGGTTGTAGGGCTCGGTATCGCTGCTCTTCTCGGCCATTGAAGACAACCGCACGGATGTTGTTGCGGCGCTTCTTGCGTCGCCCGACATTGATCTCCTTGAACGCCATGCCGTAAAGCGTGTCGTCACTGTGGAAGCTAATGCGTCTCGGTAGGATGGCACAACCATCTTGCACCTCGCTGTGCTCAAAGGCAACCATGACATTGTTCGAAGACTGATCGAAGCGGGCGTCGATGTTGGCCAAAGAGAGATCCAGGTCCATCATGCCTAGGCTGCTCTTTCTGACGGAATCGTCTCGGAATAGTCGGGCCTATGTGCCATGGACCTGGCCCTGGTAAAGAATGACCGCGACATGGACCAATTACTCGAGCCCGCCATGAATCACGTACGATGCCATGCAATTCAAATGAATTGTGAGGAACATCGCGCCACAGATACAAGCATTGATGCGCGCAATTCGCCGCCAAAACGTGCCGCGCTGTGCTACCCTTCTTCAAAAGCCGCATAGCTGCCATTTTTGCGACGAGGTACACACACAGCTCGGATATTATGCTGCTCATCGTCGGGTGCACTTCAGAAGGGCAACTCGCTGGTCCACACCGCTGTTCTCACCGGCAACGAGGCGATACTCGATTTGCTCCTCGCCAAGCCGCGCACCCAATGCGACACACGCAACAATGTACGAGATACGACGGGTTGCACATGCGCACTTCTGTTGCAGGAGGACAAGACGCCGCTGGCACTTGCGATCGAGTGTGGCCGTAGCTCGATGGCCAAAAAGCTTTTTCATCGCACGCACACGCCCGTCGTCGCGGTAGGCACGACAGCTCTTGACACTTGTTTCAGGGTCTGGCTGTAGATTTCGGAAGCCGAGTACGACGTGACGACGGCGGAACTCGGTGCCGGTGGTTTTGGTGTCGTCGTCCTTGGCTCGTACTTGGGCCAAAAGGTTGCGGTCAAGAAGCTCAAGAACGCAGGTTTCCGCACGCCGTTCGAGGCCGAAATCAATACCCTCCTCGCGTACTGCTGCTTGATGCTTGAAAGCATCGCGTTTATCTGGAATCCCATGGTCGTAGATGCCCGTCCCCGTACCTCGTCCAGCTGATTGCGATCGCTGACCGTGGCTCCAAGACGCCAGAGCTGCTCTTCGAGTGCATGGACGGCGGTAGTCTTCGGGCGCACCTCAACAAGAAGCGGTTGAATGAGCACACACAAGTGAAAGTGACGAACCTTCAAGTGGCGTGGGTCGTCGCCAACGCTTTGAAAGACCTGCACGCCAAGAAGCTGGTACACCGCGATGTCAAAAGTGACAACGTCCTCCTGAGTGCAAGCGGAGAAATCAAGCTTGGCGACCTGGGCCTGGTGCGCTTCGAGGCAACGGAAATGACCGGCACCCGGTACTGGATGGCGCCCGAGATCCTGCAAGCGCAAGGCACGACGTACGGTCGACCCGCCGACATTTACGCTAAACACAGGCCAATTGCCGTACTTTGACCAGAACGTCCAAGACCCGATTGCGTTTACCCGCGGTGTATATTATCCACCGCGACCTGAAGTCTCGGAGCGTTCTCCTCGATACCGTCTAGTTACGTGGCGCAATGTACCAAATACCCTAGCCCGATGGGTATAGGGTTGCAAGCGCACTTCGGCCGCGAGATCACTGCCCCATGCAACGTATTGAATGACAGAGGATTGTGGGACCTGGGTTTCGAGAGGTTTTTGTTGCTTCGACTCGGACAAGGGACTCGGGTCCGTCGCGCCACGGTGCTACTTGGCCCCTTAGGATGCTTACCAGTATGCGACCAGCCATATCGATGGCGTGCGATTATAGCAACGAGTTGGGGCATTTCGGATCAAACGTATGTTTCCCGCCTCCGTTGGCGACGGACTTGGATGGGAACGTGCAGAGGCCCGGGACTGCGGCGACTTGTTGTCACCCTTTTCAAACAACCAGCACGTTCCGACTAGCGCACTACGTTGTGTTGGCATGCCCACAAGTGCATCATATGATCGGTCGATACATTGAAACAAACGCTTTTTTGCTCGCCTCTTTGAATCTACTTCCGCTTGGTGAAGAGCTTTTTGGCGCTGGACAAGAGCGGCTGGACGGCCTTGGCCACGCCACACGTCGCCTTGGAGCACTTCAAGTCCTCGATCGACAAGGGTGCGCCGCAGTCGGCACAGAAGCGCGCCGTCGTCATCGACAAGTCGCGGGCAAGCAGCAGCACGCGCCAGCGCTCGGCGTCTTCGAGCACGGCGGCAACCTCGACGGGTTTCTTGCGCATCGACACCGTGCCAGTACAAAGGTTCTCTTCGCGCAGCTCGCGGCCAATCTCGAGCGCCGTCTTGCCTTCCTGCAACCCATCGTTCGGTGTGAGAGCGATGCCGTCGCAGTGCCAACGAACCTTGCCGCGCGCGAGAAGAGTCGACAGGTCCGAGTAGACAAGTTGGGCGACGGCGAAGGGGTTGCCGAAGAAGACCGCGTTCATCAGCGGGGTACCGCCGTTCACCTAGCCCCACCGACGACGCCATGAGCGGCCACTCGATCAACATAACGTACCGGATGCACGGCATGGAGGTCGGCGCCAGCGTTGATCAAGAGTGCGAGGATCTCGTAGCTACAGATGTTGCTCGCTGCAAATAGCAGTGGTGTGCCCAGCGGGCCCTACATCAACAAGCATACGCACTACAGTACAATCCATGCTGTCGAGACCAGTTCTTGGTTGACGTCGGCGCCGCGCGAGAGCACGAAGCGCACAAGCTCGGGGGATACCGACAAGATCGCAGCACACAAGACGCTCTGGCCGTTCTATACCACGCATTGACAACATCCATCCATCAGCGTTGGTTGGTACCGTAAAGACCGCGTTCGGGTGCAGCCCGTCGTCCAAAAGCTTGGTGATGACATCCATCTGCAACGGACAAGCCGCGTCGTCAAAGGCTTGAAACATCTAGTCAAGAAGCTTGAGCCGCGTATACGCTTCACGGCAGAGCACCTTGTCTTGCTTGGTGGCTGCGTCGACATATGGTTGCAGGCGAGCCACGACGTCGGCGGCGGTCAACCGCAGTGTCGGTTCGTCCGTAGTGCAGCGAGCCACAAGGTCGGCGTACCAGCTCTCGCAGTCGTCGCGAAGGCGTCCGAGCCGCACCGTCGGCATGAGGAGAGTGTCGAGCTCCGTGAAGAGAACGCCGAGTGCATACATGTCGGAGGCCGACGACGCCGGCAGCTGCGCAATGCGTACTTCCGGCGCCGTCCACGGCGCCAACGATGTGTTTGGCGGTACGTAGCCAGGATACAGGGCATGGATCGCGCCAGCGTACGGATCGGCGTACATGCTGTAGCTTGAGAACGCCCCGTGGGCGACACCTGCTGCGTGGAGGTCCGCGAGCGCATTGGCGGCTACGAACGCAAGCTGGAGCTTGGTCGGCCACGTCTGGAGGCGCGATCCCGGCACTTGCACGTCGAGCTTGTAGCGGAGGATGTAGCTTTGCACCGACGGGGGCTCCGTGCACACGTACGCCGAGGCCACCCTACATGGCGTCAACACCTACCCCTAGGAAGAACGATGCGCCTACGTCATTGCCGCATCGCCCTAGTACGACACCATAAGACATGGAATGAATCGATGCGACATGATGATGTATCCGCACGTACGGTGGGTGGATGCATGGCCGCGTAGAGGACGCGCACGAGGTCGGCCGCCCCCGAGGCGACGGCGACAGCCAATGGCGTTTCCCACGCCTACGAGTGCCGTCACGCGGTCGCCAAAGCCCCCAAGCGTACGTTGTTTTTGTGGTCGATCGGGATACCGGGCGCCGCCAGCAACACCTGCAGCATGGCGAGGTTGTTTTGCTTGACGGCGTGGTGCACGAGCGAGTCGCCATGCTAGGCAACGTGTGAGATGCGAGCCATGTCGTCTCGATATATCAGCTACGCAATCGTGTCGAGTCGGCGTCGTGGGCTCGGCCAGCAACTGCTCTAGTCTCGTCAAGTTGTCGTCTTGGATCGCGGCGATAAGAGCCTAATATCATACAGCATCGCCGAATGCCATCATGGCTCGGAGCACACCTTCATGTGGCCGTACTCGGTGTTGCACTTGTCGAGCTCGGCCGCGGCCGCGAGCTTTCGCGCTGCGTTTCTACGGCGGAACCAAGCCACGATATGACGGAGCTCCGGCGTCTTTGTGGTCTACAGCGCATGTGACTCTCCGATGCGAGGTAGTATGCGATATCGAGTCGCAAAGTGTACAGGCTTTGTCGCTGCCATCCCGAGCCGCTTGAGCAGCATCTTGAGCTCGTCCTTGCTTGCGGGCGACGCGCGCTGGCAGCCCGGACACGTCTCGAGCACAAACAAGGTGCGACGGCACGGCTCACAGGTGCGCGTCCAGTCGATCCGCACGCCGCGGTGGTGCAACGTCACGAACCGGTGCATCATGCACGTGACCTTGTCGTCAAGCGACGCGTCGTGGCCGCACGCAGCGCACGCAGCCTCGATCGGATGCCACGCTTGCTTGCACTCGGCGCAAGGGCGCGTTTCGGCCGTGGCAACGTGCTACGGTAAGCCGGTGGGGGTAGGCGTACATCGATCGACACGTACCGCGCCTTGCAAGAGCGGCACGTACTCTTTCAGGTCGTCGTCGGCCATCGCGAGAGCCAATGGCGTCTTGCCGGTCTGCGCCACATGAGGCCCTGCGAGTGGACGCGGAAACGATATGTCGTTCTACCTTGTCGGGCAGCGCGGCGTTGGCACCGGCGTCAAGGAGAAGGCGGACAATACTTGCATGGTCGTTCTTCACCGCCCGATAAAGGGCCGTGCGATGTTTCTATTAGACTCCAGAATGAGCAATGGCGTCTTCGGAGAGGAAGGAGATAGATACGTTGTCGAGTAAATCAACGTTGGCACCCGAATCGAGCAGTAGCTCAACGAGGTGCCAACTGCCATCGCTTGCGGCGGCGTGAAGCCCACTGCAGCCTTCCTACGAGGTCCCACGCATGTAGCATCCGATTAAAAAAGTCGTTGTACGCTGTAGCAGTCGACCAACGCGCCGTGGTCGAGAAGGAGCTGGGCAATGTCTTCGTTGCGACGGCCCACGGCTAGGGGCAGCGGCACCGTACTGTTCTATCGTATCTTGGTTCATAATGCTGTCAAGAAAGCACAAGAAGGGGGTACCTTGACCGTATAGTTGGGGTCAAACCCGTTCACGAGTTGCTTTTGTACCGATGCAACATCATTCGCCGCCACCGCGCGCAGAAACGTCTCGAGATTCTAGCAGGCGTCTCGTACCACGTTGGAGCGACCATCTTTAAAAGGACGTACACCGCCCACGCCGCCTTTGGCCACACGTTTCGCAAGGGTCGTGGCAATCTCATTGGCCGTCGGACGCTTGGATGGCTCGTCGTGGAGGCACTGCGTCACGAGGTCTCGTAGCCACGGCTCGCACGTCTCGGTCAACGTCGGGCGGCGACCTGCGAGGACCGCCTCCTTGATCTGATAGTCATTCATCAAGTCGGTGGCGTCGTAGTACGGCAGCTGGAGCGTATCCAGCTCGGTCAAGAGCACGCCAAACGAGTAGACGTCGGCTTGGGTGCCGTAGCATGCGCCGTCGACGCGCAGCACTTCGGGGGCTGTCCAGCGCGCCGTGCCGCGGCCGTCCGTCATGTACGTGGCCGCCACCTTGGCGATACCCAAGTCGCCGAGCTTGACGTAGTGGTCCGTGCTCAAGAGGACGTTCTCGCTCTTGATGTCGCGGTGAACGATCCCAAGTGCATGCAAGTCCTTCATCGCATTCGCGACAACCCACGCCACCTCGAGGGTGGTCACCTGCAACTCGCTCGTTTGCAGCCACCGCTTCTGGTCCAAGTAACCCCGCAGCGTGCCCGAGTCCATGTAGTCGAGCAAGAGCGCTGGCGTCATCGACGCGCGGTCTGCGACAGCGAGGAGCGACACGAGGTACGGCGATGGACACCTACGCACGCTGACTCAGTGCCCCTTCGAGCCACAAGAGGCGACGCGACTTGGCCATGGCGTCGGCTTCGGCACGCAGCATCGCAGCGCCGTCTTTGGACCCCTTGGACACCTTGACGGCAACCTTGCGCCCTTGATACGAGCCGCGATACACGAATGCTTGGCCACCAGCTCCGAGCTCCTCCGTCGACGTCTCATAGTCGTTGCCCGTGATCTAATGCAATGGACGAGTCAGCTCAGGACCGAGATTTGGCGACTCCAACCTCCACGACAGGTCGGTGCAGGTGATGAAAGAGGGTCCCCGCCATGTCGAGGTAGCCGCGCTGGATCGCGACCGCCATCGGAGATCGACGAGCCTACGCAGTCGCCGTCGATAAGCAAATGTGTTGCCATTGTCTGACCAGATACCAGATCCAGTTCTTCCAAATCCATGCCCGGCGTTGCAATGAGGCAGGCGAGGGTCTCCGAGTCGTGCGCCCGCACGGCCAAATGCGCCAAAGAGTCCCCCATCTACTTGATTGTGAAGATAAAAGGAGACGACGATGGGTACCGTGTTCTGGGCGTTGCTGTTGTACGGACGGCTTAGAAGCGAGCGCACCTTGGCCAAGTCGTTGGCATTGGCGGCGTCCTCGAGGTCGTTTTTCTACCATACAAAGCGCATCTTCCTTCCCCGAGCCAATTAAATTGGAAAGCCAACATGGTTTGAAGCGTCGGTCATCAGACCCATCATCGTCGTGTTTCGGAGGTATCCTGCATACTCGATCGGCCGTTGTCCTTGCTACTCGATAACACATCGGTATGCTCTACATGAGACAGCCGTCTACCTTGTTGGTCGCGTTGATGTCAAAGCCAGCGTCTAGGAGCACGCGCACCACGTCGGTATTGTCCATCGCCACGGCCACGTGCAACAGTGTCTCGCCATTCTACGACAAAAGTGTCCATCGAATTCGGTCGACACGCACTATACCATGTCGTCTTGGTCGAATTGAATGCCGGGCGCGGCCAAAAGCGCAGCCACCACGTCGGCGTGGCCTTCATGCACGGCCACGTACAGAGCCGTCACTGAGTTCTACGCCATGCTCAGCATCCCGTCGGCCTTGAAAAAGGACGAAGCGTACGTAAACTGCATTCACATTGGGCGAATAGGCCAGCAGCTTGTGCACCACGTCCACATGGCCTCTCGATGACGCAGTAAAGAGGGGGCTCTCCCCAACCTACGCCAAACAACAGGTTTCGTCCGTCGTTACCATCATCGCATCATGTACTGCATCCGCATCGACGCCGGCGCCGGCTTCCAAGAGCATGCCGACGACGGCCGCGTGGCCATGCATCGCCGCCATGTAGAGCGCCGTCGCCCCCGCAAAGTCATGGCCGTCGATGCCGTAGGGCTGGTCGACGTTCTGGATGCGTGCAAGCAACGCTGCGACGATGTTTTTGTCCCGCCCGTTGCCTGCCGCGTCGTGCAGCGGCGACGCCTTCTCCTAGAAACACGATGCCGATGCGATATAGTAACCTAGTAAATGGTGTGGACGTACATCGTTGACAAGGTCGGGGTCGGCGCCCTTTGCCAGCAATTTCTCGACCAGTTCCACGTTGTCGAGTCTCGTGGCTACATGGAGTGGCGTGTCGCCGCGCTATGATAGCACCATATGGGTTACGGAACGTCGTTTATTGCATGTGTTCGTACGCCGTTGCGGGCGCTGACGTGGGCGCCGGCAGCCACAAGGTTGTCGAGCATCGCAAGGCGCTTCTGGGCCACCACGACGTGCAAGACCGAGGTCCCGTCCTAGAGAAAGACCACATTGTCTTCTCTCTCTTCATTGTCCGTAGTCGCTGTGTACCGTTGTAACGAGGGTGGCATTGGCACCACGCGCAAGGAGGACGTCGACGACGCGCTCATGGCCGCGGCTCACGGCCACCAGAAGTGCCGTCTCGCCAATCTAATTGGCTCTTCTCAGCAGAGCCATTTGTGTAGAGAAGCAAGTACCTCGGTCGCGCAGTCGGGATGCACGCCATCGTCGAGTTGGGCGATGACGCCATCGACGTCATCCCTGTAGACTGCGCGGAGGAACGCTTGCTCCGGCTATGCAGACATTATTGTATTCATGCCGCGAGGACAGATGACCATGTTAAGGTACCGTCATGTCCGAGATGGGAACGCCAACGGCCTAGTAGCACACAAGCCGATGCCGCCGTGTTGCCGTATTGGAAGCGTACCATGGACGTTCGAATCGCCGGTCGTGGAACCGACGACGTCGGCGCATTCGACACGTCAGGATGGACGTTTGTCAGCGGTGCGAGGGACACCATTTCGCTCTATATACCAAACTTCGGTTGGTAAAAGACAGCAAAGCGGCGTCTACCGCTCGATCGGCATCGAAGGCACGTTGCGACATGACGAGCTCCGGTCGCCTGCTTCATCCTAAGTCACCTCCTGTCTATCATTACAACGTACCGTTGCAGTTCCGGACGCAGGAGCTCGACAACGTCGGCCGCCGTTGGGCGCATTCCTGGCTCGGTCGCCTTGCATTGCGCATGCAGCGTCACATACCACGGCGCGTCGTCGGCCTCAGCGTAGCTCGCCATGCCTGGAAAGAGTTTTTCGAGCAGGACGCCAAACGAGAACATGTCGGCGGCCGTGCCGTAGTTGCTGCCCGACCTCAGCACCTCGGGGGCCATCCACTTGTCCGTGCCTCTGCCCGTTGTCATACATGTCGTCTTCTTCTTGGCGATGCCAACGTCCGCCACTTTAATGTAGTGCTTGGACGAGAGGAGGATGTTGTCGGTCTTGATGTCGCGATGAACGACGTTCTTGGCGTGGAGGTCGTTCAAAGCGTTGGCCACCACCCACGCCACCTCGAGGGCGAGGGACGAGAAGCTCACCGCCATGGCTTCGTTATCATTGGCCAGCTTCTCGAGGTGCGTGGCGAGATCGCCGCCGTCCATGTACTCGAGTACGAGCTGCGGATTGGTCGAGTCAATCTCAACCGTTGCCAGCAACCGCAGCAGGTATGGCGATACGTTTCTAAAGAGTGATGAGGGTATAGAGAAAGGGTAGAGGCAGACGTACGCCTCCATGACGGCCATCTCGTGGCGCAAGGTGTCTGCCTTGGCGTGGGCATCTTTCAAGGTCTTGAGGGCGACGTCGTAGCCGTGGAGCGAGCCTTTGTACACAGCGCCGTAGCCGCCGTGCCCGAGCGGGTGGAGCCGAGTGACCTCGCTGGCCGCGACCTGATGCACATAGTATCGCGTGATGGATTGCACCGACAGGTATAGGTAGATACCTGGATAGCGGGCGTCGCTTGCGCCTGATGCAAGGCTGTCACAAGAGTTTCCTTGGCCATCTTGATAGCGATCATCATGGGCGTCTCCCCAAACTAGTACCAAGGTGGTTTGGTTGGCATTTCGTGATATGAAACGAGGTAGAGACGTTGTTAAGGTGTGTGGTCTGGACGCCGTCTTGCGCCAAGAGAACATCCAGTAGCGCGTCGTGCTGGCCCAAGACGGCGAGATGCACGAGCGTATTGCCGTCCTATTCGTTTCTAAATCCAAAAGGTGACAAGACAAGATGAACCACCTCGTCATTCTCGTTGACGCTGAGCCCCTCGGTAAGAAAGGCTTGGGTGGTCTCGAGGTGGCCGTGCCGCACAGCGTGCAGCAGCTTCAGTTTCTATGCCCAGAGAATCTCGCCTCTCTGAATGCAGCATTCGAGCCCGCACCTTGTCCCGAACGTCTTGGAGAACGTCGACGACGCGGATGTGGCCGTTGGCGATGGCTTGCGACAGCGGCGTCGACTCGTCCTACAGAATCCAGCTCGACGACACTGCGTGCAACAGTGGTCGGTACCAAAGCGGGCTGGTCGAGCTTGGCTCGGGCGTAAGCGAGTCGGCGGACGATGGCGTCGTGGCCGTTCGCAGCCGCCATGTAGAGCGCGGTCGCCCCCGTCTAGACAAGAGGAATGCCATTTGGGTATCGTGCTTCATGGTTGCACGGACGAAGTACCGTTGCCGAGGTGGCGTTGACATCAATCTTGGTGGCGAGAAGACACTCGACGGCTTCGAGATGGCCATTCGCAGCCGCAACAACGAGGCTCGAAGCACCGACCTACCGCGACGTTGATGGGACCGTCACATGCAAGCACAAACGTACCGCAACGCCAGCGTGAACGTTCGCACCGGCCTCAAGCAGAGCCGTCATCGCGGCAGCATGGCCGTACTCTGCGGCCATGTACAGCGGCGTTTGCCCAGTCTGGAGAGATACATGAGGTGCGAGAATGGCTTCTATATCGACGTACCGACGAGAGGATGTCGATGGACGCGCCGGCGCTCAAGAGCGCGAGAAGCATGGCCACATGTCCATTTGCTGCCGCATAGTGCAACGCGCTGCAGCCAAACTAGGTAGCGAGGTCGAAGAAGGTACAGAGAGGAGAAGATCGTTGATCCAGAGTAGTACCATGTCGAGGTCCGCGACGTTAGCGTTCGCGGCGAGAAGTATCGTCGCGACAGCTTCGCTGCCCGCGCCTGCAGCTGCCATGAGCGGCGTCATGGCGTTCTACACATCAAGCTTGAGATGGGTCGAAGCGAATGCGTCTACCCATTGGAGAAGATCGACGTTGGCCATGCGATCAAGCAGCTGCTGCACCACGGTGGCGTGGCCCGAGCGAGCAGCAAGCATCAAGGCCGTCGCTCCCGACTAGCAGCATTCGTTAGCCTCGTCCATCATCAAGTGCATCGGGATGGTGGTACCGGAAGACGGTGGTTGATGTCGGCGCCCGCCGTCAAAAGCAGGGCAATGACGTCGATATGGCCTTTCTCGGCTGCCAGAACCAAGGCCGTGGCAATGCCCTACGTCTCATGAGCTCTCGCCGTCGTGCGTGCATGGCCTGGCGCACCGGTGTCGTTGCATGCACGTCCGCCTTGGCCTCGAGGAGCGCCGCGACCACCGCCGTGTGGCCGTGAAGCGCTGCCACGGCCAGCATCGGATAGTCCATCTACAGATCCACGACGCGGTGAGGCGACATGTTGCATGGCGTTCGACGCACCTCGTCAAGGGCGTTGGCATCGGCGCCGGTCCGTAGCTGGTCGGCCACGACCGCGGCGTGGCCAGTCGCGACTGCTTTGCGCAGCGTCATCTAGGTCGGACGCCATGAGAGCACATGCAGAGGACGCGCCCGTACGCTCATGCTCATGCTGCTGCTGCTGCGTGGTAGCGAGGCTACGGCAATTTGAGCTCGTCACATCGTCGCGGGTCGCAATCCTGTGCAATTGAGTTTCAGAGTGGGTGGTGCGAGCGTCGCTCGGGTTATCAGTTTCAACGGGTAATATCGATTTATAGGGTTTCTAGGGAGCGATAGCATCGATTCATAGAGGTCCATGTGCTGGCGCTTCCATCTGCGATCGCATTTGTCGCAGCGGCTCGAGCGTCACGCCAGTCTGGTCACGCCTGCGAACACGCAGCGTTCCCTTCCTTTGCAACACTTTGGCATGCCGCGAGCTGTGCCGAGCAGCTGCGCTTGTCCCAGTAGGGCGACAACTCGCGCTCGTCCTTCCGCGGTACGGTGCCTTTGTTGTTGTTGAAATGACTCTTCTCGGTATGTTACGGATTAAGAGTCCTCTTTCTAACGTCGTCCTACCTCAACTCATTGCGGAAGACCCGCGTTTGCGGCATGCCATTTTCTTCTTGCTTCTTCCATGTGTTCCTTGTGGCTTTTGCCAAGCGTGGTCTTTTCACAATGGCGAGCTTGCTCAGGGGGCAAAGGGCGTAATGCCTTCATTACTGCCATGACCTCGGGTGAGGTGAGGCGGGTTGCTTAGTAGGCGTCGAAATCTAGAATGCTAGCTCTACGACGGCCTCGCAAGATACGCCGCTTCGTGAAAAGATCGTTTCGACTTGCTGCGCGCGCAAAACACCCATTATATGGTCACCGGGCCAGTGACATTGGTGCCCAGATGGGGGGGGGTCCGGATCAAAAACTCGGCGCGTCGGCATTCGAACCGGCGACCTCGGGAGGCAAAAGCAGGAATGATACCGCTCGGCTCCAGCGCCCCGCCTTGCGGTACGGGGGCTTAGTGTACCGTCTCGCCTTGACAGCCGCGGCTGTCCGGTCCAGCTTGCACTCTCTCAGCCATGATGCTCGCCACTGATCGCTCTCTGCGATGCCCCCGCCCGCGAAACGTATGACTATCGTTTTGTCCATAGGTCTGCACGATCTCGCGCGCTTTGGAAGTACTAAAGAGGTTGTCCATGTACAGTACAGTCGGATTGATACTCGTCCCTCGAGTGCGGGAGGCTCCTTGTTGATTGTAGTACCGTTGCGATAGTTTTGGATTTTCGTCCATTTTCAGAGTGATGGTCGTTGTCTCTCGCGCGATCAAGATGCGTCTGGGATAGCCGCACAACCACATGTGACTGCATTTTTAGTGCAGTGTCTGCATCCTTCCCATCCGTGCTGTCGTGGGCGTCCCTTCTTGTAGCATTAGCAATCGCAATTCTGGCTCTCTTCTCCATGCAACGACCTCCGTCGAGTTGTTCGAGTATCGCTCGTGTCAAGACCATCACTCGTACACATGGCCGGGCGCCGTAACTCACAGGCATGGCAGAGAGAAATGTTGACTGGTGACCATGTGATTCTACTGTCTGGTCAACGTCAAGGCATGTGCGCTTCGACGCATTTGCTGAATTGCGCTGCAGAATTGCGCCAAAGCATGAGCGACGACGAGGACGAGTTCAGTCTGCGCACGTTTGCGCGCGATGCTGTCATGCCGCACTGCTGCCTGAACGAGCTGGACATGAAGCGCATCCCGACGGCGAAACTCGGTGGCCTCACCGTGACCTCGTGGCCGCTGTCGCCCGAGACCGTCGCGACACTCATGACCAAGTATGCTGGCCGCGTGCCGGCCAAGAACATCATCTCCCGCGGCTTCCATAGCATTGTCGACGAAGGCTGTTTTGAAGACTCGTGCCTCAGCGAGTTGGACCCCGCGCCTGGCGTTTCCGATACCTCCATCGCCTTTAGCACAACGCTGGCGCATTTTGCAATCGACGTGACCGGCGACGCATCCAAGCTCAAGCCGGTCACGAAGCGCCCGCCACCCGATACCTTTGCGACGGTCGTCTACTTTTTTCCGTCCACCTGCGTCGGCGGCGCCGTCACGATCGCACACGAGCACCAAACGACGACATTCGAGGCCCTCGACGGATGCTGCCTCGCGTTCTACAGCACGTGTGACGTGACCGTCGCGCCCATCACGTCCGGACACCGGTCTTTTGCCGTGTACTACGCCGCCTACGACCTGGAGGCGTCCGCCTGGGACGACGAACACTTTCCCAAGGCATGGTACGCACCGCGGCCGCTGCCGTCGATCCAAGAGCTCCAGGACGCGTCTCGCCGCGACGATCCAGAAGGCTACATTGGCATCACGGTGGGGCTCGAGACGCGCAGCTTGACGCCGACGTTTGATTCGCTCACGGGTTGTGACAAGGCCGTCGTCGACCGGCTACTGGATGCAGGCGTGTTTGACATTGCACTTGTGCGAGCAGGCGACGACAACAGTGACGCGCCGGCGCGGATCGAGACGTTTCATCCGCGATGCAAGGCCCCAGCGCTCGTCCAAGAGATCTCCCACCAGACGCCAATCAGCGAGTTTGCAGATGACGCGCACGAGTACGAGTCGCCCGGCCGCTTTCTCCTCGTGTGGCCCAAGGCGCATCGCGTGCGCATGCTGGGCTACGACCGCACGATTGCGCTTTTGCGCGCCAACGTGGACGGTGCCGTCGTCGACGATTTCGGCTTCGGGTCGCTGCACGGCATCTTTGAAGCGGCCTTCCGCTTCTTCTACCCGCAGCCCAGTACCAATTTCCGTCATGACCCGGAGCACATCACAAACATGATGGCATCCGTGCTCTACGACCATGGCGACGTCGGGCTCATCGAGGCGTTCCTCGCCGTCCACGACTGGTGGGCCGACGATGCGATTATGGCGGATTGGCTCCTCGCGGTGCTCCGGCGCTTTGGCGCACCCCGTTTCCAGCACCGGCTTCGAACGGCCGACGTTTCGATCCCGTTTGTGGCCCAATTGGTGCGACTCGCGACGGCCGGCGACAGACTTGCGCAGACGATCGCAAGCGACTGCGTCCCGCTGTGGTGGCCTCGCCTTCTGCACTACCTCGTGCAGACCGTCCGCGATACGCCAACGGCGGTGTGCCGTGTGTTTGACATGGAGACGTACGTGCTGACGCACCCCATCGACACGGCGGCGTCGACATATCTGCGTCGGCACTTGCCCGATGGCGTCGTGCGCGCAGTGGCCGCGTATCTTGAGCCGCCCCGCGTCTCGCTTGCGGACGCGTTGCGAGACCATGCGCACCTCGCTGGGTATCTCCCGGCCGCCGTGTGGCCGCATCGGAGCGCGCTCAGTCACGCGCGCCTCGCCTCGTACTTGCCGCTTGCCACTGCGTATTTGTGTGCGCCTGGCGTCCAGACCCACTTTGCGACTGGCCACGTACCGAGCCTTGTGTACTTGGCGCTGCTGACGGTCGGGACGCCTGCTTTTGCGGCCGTCGACGCTGCCGTGCAAAAGCTGCGGCGGTACTCCACGTTTACGTCCGAGTGCGCGGGCCTCGACACGGTGGCGTTGAGTGCGATGCAAGCGCTCGTCATGGAAGAGTACATGCGGCAGCCGTGAGACGTGTCGTAGAGAGGTTGCGACAAGATAGCGCATATCTTGCATTTGCTAAACGATTCTTAGTCTCCTCCATGTTGTTGAAATGCAGGTCGACGAGCAGAGGCCAACAAGACGTGTCAATGCAACTGGAGCGAAACGAAGCCTCCGCCCATCCGACGCGCCTCACGAACGCTCATCAGGGGTGACGTTTGATCCATCCTGGCCGAACCACGAGTCAAAACATTTGGATCCGACATGACGGCGGTGCCACGGCTTCTATTCTGGTACTCTATCCACAACGGCGTCTGTCTATTCTTACGCGATGTCATGTCCACGACAAAAAACAACCAGCGACCTCTCAGCGGTGGAGGAGTCGCCCCACTCCACCTCCCCCAAGCTTCTCGAGTGCCAACGATGTGGCGTCGCTCCTTCAAGACCAGTGATCCTGATAAGGCGATGTACCAGGATGCTGCGAACCTGATCGATGACGCTACCGCCAATGTGCGCACCCGTCGTCTCCAAGCCAGCATCGCACCGCCACTTCGCATCGACGGCATCGACGGTGCCATCACGTGGCCACTCGCACCCGCGCACGCAGCAGCCTTCGCAGCACTCGACATTCCCAATGGCACCCTTCTCCCGACGTCTTTTGCTTTTGTTCAACCTACTGCATGGCGCAAAATCGTCCAGAACGAGCTGCATCGGGAGGCGGCCAGTGCGATTACGGACGCTGACCTCGTTCTCTCGCACCTCGTGATCGACGCCGTTGGCACCGGCGCCGCGCTCGTGCCGACAAACATGCCAGTTGACGCCTTTGGCTACATGGTTCTGCACTTGCCATCGGCCTACGATGGCGGTGAGATGACGTTCAGCTATCGCTACTCGATCGAAACATGGACACCCGACAAGGCCGATGTCGAAATCGCCGCAACCTTCCGCGACCTCGTCCCTACCTCGGCGCCAATCACAAGAGGAGTGCGCATGGCACTCGTCTTCCGTCTCGTCATGATCCACAACGACGATGACATTCCGGCACCATGCAACCAAACCGAGGCCGTCGCCGCCTTCCAGCGCGTTGCCGAGCTGCCGCTACACACGCACCAACTCATTTCGTGCAATCCTGACGAAGACGCTTCGATCGACCATATCTGGACCTTTGAGACTCTCGATCCGTACGAAGCGGGCTTGGTGGACGCGCTTATGACCACCGAACTCTACGACGTTGCGATTGTGACGTTTGCCAAAGAGTCGGACAAGGATATGATCTATGAGAAGGCGCTGCGCCGTTCTAGTGACGACGACGAGTACGAGCCCAAGACGACGTATCGAGTCGCCACATGCTCGCCGCACCCGTCGAGTCGCATCCCATCGACGGTCCTTCACGCGCTCGTGGGCAGCCGCGTCGACGCGTTCCTCTTTAATGACGCGCTCATCGACCATCACATGTTTGGGGGCCCACCGTTCGCGCTCGTGTTTTGGCTCAAGCGATATCGAGCGAGTATTCTCGGCCTGGACGTTGTTCTG